TTTTATATGATATATTTTCTATGACAAGTATCGACATCAAACTTTTGCTGCATCAAAGTTCACAATATTAATAGCAATTTAATTTAAATTATATAAGAGACGAGGAGTTTATATTACCTGCACATGCTCCCATATGTCATCAAGAAAATTTTCACTAATATCTTTCCAATTTTTTCCATGTAATTGGTATAAGTTCTCTAGTCGTGGTCTCAATAAATGATGATAACTTATTTGAACCTTTACAAATTGGCCGCCCTCTTTCATTAAACTCTACTGGTAATTTTCCCACATTTTTCCTTGTTGAGATAATTCAATTTTCCTCGAACCCTTCCATTCTTTCCCTTTTCAGTAGTACTAGCACTATTAGGAAACATTTCTACATCATGTTGCACATCATTTTCTTGTATGTCTGGAACAGAATTAGAACCTCCTTCTGATATTCTTATCCCTTCATTCCCTTATCTTGTGGCAGCAACAACTNCCCTTCTCTTGTGGCAACAACTATTGAAGCTTTTTTAGCTCGTTTTGATTTCTTATAGCATTGATTAGATGACTGTATTAAACAAATATGAAAAACAAGCAATATTTTACTTAGAGTTAATATAGAATCATTAAAAATTATTATATATACAATCTGGGAACTTACTTCACCATGGTATGTCATCTTATTTCCACTCATGTGAATATCAGCATCCACAAAGCTCAGCTTTAATCGTTTGCATCTACAAAAAATAAAGCAAGAAATAATGGAATTACAGTCATGAAAGACATTAACATCAATATAATATCACATAAATAGAAAATTAAAATAAAGCAAGAAAGAATCTTAAAGATATACAATTACAATATTCAATATCAATGCCCTCAAAATCACGTCCTACATATTCTTCATCTTCAACGGTCATATCAAGTCTTAATGCATCTAATGTGGAAGGAGTATAAGCCTCCTCATCAAAATTTTTTAACTCATGAAATCCTCTGGGATGTGCCTTTAAAACAATATACCAACTAGATGTATCACTCTCTCTAGAATAAAAAAACTTGTTTTGCTTGTGATGCTAATATAAATGGATCTCTTTCAAATTGATGTTGTCCTCTATGTAGATTTACCAATGTAAATCCTTCTTCACTCTTGACTCCGCTATCTATATTTGCCCAATCACAATGAAACATGGGAACTTTAAAACTATGATAATCTAGTAAAATTATGTCTCTTATAACCCCGTAATAAGATATTTTACCAACTACATGGCTTGTATCCTTCACACTAGACCGACAAATAGTTTGTGCTTCAATAGAAACACCACTGTTTTGTGTACTTCTACTAATATCGGTTGTATGAAACCGATGTCCATTGATAACATAGCCAGAATGTGACATCACATCATATCTAGGCCGACGTGCAAGCCATTTCAATGTATTAGACATGTTACAATTGTCTTGTTTGCCTTTCTCCGCAAACCAAGAAGTGAAAGTCTCCATATGTCTCATTTGTAATAAGGTTTCATTCTTGGCAATGCGACTATCTGAATTCTTAATCTCCTCTTTATGCATCCTAAATGAAAATAAAAAAACAAATAATAAGAGAAATTTATGAGAGAACATTATTCAATATTAAAATAATAAATTAACTAATTTCATTACGTTATATATGGCTCAACATCAACGCTGTTATACAGCACATAACGATGAGCGACCTCTAACATTTCTTGACTCAAAGTTTTTGACTTTCCTTTAGAAATCGGACGCCCATCAATAATTGTTTCATTCTCGAAATCCTCATTCCGAGTATGTCGAACACCTACTTCAGCAGCTTGTTTCATGTAACCACTACAAAAATGCATACATTCATCAGCTAAATAACGCTCTGCTATGCAGCCCTCAGGTCTTGAACGATTTCGTACATATCCTTTAAGTGTTTTCATAAACCTAATTCATCATATAATATGCATGAGATAATTAAGTAATTAGAAGAAGAACTTTTGAATACTTACAAAAGTATAATAGTAATTTACCTCTCAAATGGGTACATCCAACGATATTGTACTGGTCCACCAATACGAACCTCACGCCCAAGGTGGATGGTTAAATGAATCATTATGTCAAAAAAAGACGGGGGAAAATACCTTTCTAGCATACACAAAGTCACAGCAACATCCTCCTCAAGCTTTTCTAATTTATTTTTATCA